ATTTAATGACAAAACCCAGCCAGTTAAATACATTCCTAAAAATGAAGGTTCTTTATTGGCATTGATGGTTCCTTCTCATTCATGCAACCTTTCCATTGAACAAAAGTTTTTTTTTTATAGTGGAAAAAGGTTCTTCAGATTACAAAGTTTTTCAGACGAAGAAAAAAATGGTTAACTTAAAGGTTCTAAACTGGCTCTTCAGTGGCATCAAAAACTTTAAAACTTTTTGGAACCTTTATTTATTTAAAAAAAAGTTTTGAATGTTTTCATTCCACAAAAGGTTCTTAAAAGTGTATCTGTGTATCTAGATTTTCAAAATGTTTTTCAAACTGAGAAAAAAAAACAAGTTATTTAAAAAAAATTGTTTAGAAAGGTTCTTTGGGGAACCAGAAATTGTTCTTCTATGGCATTGTTTACTCACCCTTGCCATTCAAAAACTGACTTTCTTTTTTACATAAAACAAAAAAGAAGAAATTTTGCCGAATGTTCATGTTAAATTTATCCATACAATGAAAGCAGTGGCTCAAATGATCCAAGAAAGGACAAGTCCCATAAAAATAATTCATATGACTTATTTTCATATTATTATCATAAAGTATCAATACTTCACTATGTTCAATTTTTTTGAAGTCATAAAATGGCTTTGCATGATAAAAATACCAATATTTAAGTCCAAGGATCGCGGAACGAACCAAAAGGAGGGGGGGCCCGCCCCCGCCCTCCACAGTAGTAATATTACCTATAAAATAATAAATATATGAACAACTAATGGTATTAGTTAGTTGCCACATATATTAGCCTATGTATTTTTAAGCTATGATTCTCCCACGATTCTGAAAACAAAACAGCCAACCAAACGAAATTATGTAATTTAATTGAGTTTCTGACTAAATGTTTTATTAATGTTATAGTAAATGAGTCTATTAAAAATATTTATTAATTTAAACGAATTCTAATAAAAATCATTTTAAATAAATGAAGACTTGTTTCGTTTTGAATGAATGATTTAGACATCAAATACATTTAACGCTCACGGTTCGCCAGTCGCCACCTACTGGAATAATGTAACATATACATTTATTTTCTTTTGTTTAACCTTGCCTTATACACAGAGGCATTGTTGTGTTAGAATAGAAAATGATCCTGTTCAAACTATTGGTATTGTGGGATTACAAATTTAAGAATCTGTTTAAAATATGCTGATCCTATGTTCTGACATGGCATCACATGAAAAACTAAGGTGAAGTACATTGTATTTAGCATTTAAGGTAAATTACATCAGACAAATTATTATCTTAAGCAAAGTGTAGCAAGAGGTTCCTGTTCTCTTATTGTTAGTCAAATGAACCAGATTACTGAGACTATCACCTTTTGTTTGTAATGGCTCTTGGTGCCTCTGCCCCAGTCTTTGAGTAGTTATACTGATTGAATTAGCACCTATGCATTTGAATGAC